TGTTGTGGCATCCCGGCAGATCAAAGACAAAATAAATGCGTGGTTTTATTTATTTTATTTTAATTTCCTGCATCCCTTCAGGTTGGTGTTGGAGATTGTTCTGGAAAATCCAGGTTGCTGTTTTTTTTGTGTTTGTGCTTCTGGATTTTGCTTGCCATGTGAAGCTGGCATTGCGGGCATGATGGGGAAACCAGCCTTGCTGTTTTCTCTCGCAATATCTTCGCTTTTGTAATGCCATGCCTCAGGGAGGTTGTAAGGTGTGGTATGTAGGTGCCACAGAATTAAAACTAATGTTCTGATCTCCCTTCTGTGGACAAGACTCCACCTTTCCCAAACTGAGACTTTACACTACATCACCCTTCAACTTGAGATCTTCCTGAGAATTGGATGATGTCTCCCGGGGTAGCCCTCGACTTAACAACACAGTTTAGTGACCATTTGAAATTACAATGGCACTGAAAATAGGGACTTTGGAGCCACGGGGACGCAGTGGTTAGAATGCAGGATTACAGGCTAACTCTGCCAGCTGCCAGCAGTTCGATCCTGACCCTCTCCAAGTTGGCTCAGCCTTCCGTACTTCTGATAAGGACCCAGATTGTTGGGGGCAAGAGGCTGAGTCTCCAAGCAGTTTGCAAAGTCAACGTCTTGCCCGCAACAATCTGAATCAGGATCGAACTGCTGGCAGTCGGAAGAATTCATCTGCAATCCTGCATTCTAACAACTGAGCCACCTAGGCAGGATAGGCTGGGCTAGGACAGGACAATACAATTTAGAATAGAATATAGACTAGAATGCAGAATAGAATAGCATAACAAAATATAGAATAGAAAATAGAATAACAAAATTTAGAATAAGAATACAATATAGAATAGAATGCAGAATGGAATAATAAAATTTAGAATAGTAGAACAGAAAATAGAGAATAAAATAGAACATAAAATGCAGAATAGAATATAGAAAATAGAGAATAAAATAGAACAGAATAGCCCTTAGATTTATCTACCGCTTCACATTATTTCACAGCTCTCTCTAAGCGTTTTACAGAGTCAGGCTATTGCCCCCCAATCATCTGGGTCCTTGTTTTACCGACCTCGGGAGGATGGAAGGCTGAGTCAACCTTCAGCTGGTCAGGATCAAATTGCTGGCCGTGGGCACAGCTAGCCTGCCATCCTTTGCCCTCTTAACCACTGCGCCACCATGACTCTTGATCGTTTTCTCTTTATAGTTTCGATTTCTACTTCTGGTTACATCACTCGGGGACAACCTCAATCTGGGGTCAACATACAGGGCACGTGCAGCTACCACAAGGAGTACACTGTGTGTTCCTGTGGTTTGCAAAGCTGATCATTATTTCTATGCTGTGTAGGAGAACACCTCCCCCAAATATCACCTGTGGGAATTGGCTGGCAGGGCATGTCCTAATTCTCACCAATGCTCAGGTACCTGTTGATTTCACATGGTGTGCTGATATTAGAGAGTATTGCATTCTCTGATCCTATCAGCCCTCCCTACAAAATGAGGATTGCAGGATTATGGCCACGATTAAGCCTTCTGGCCCACACCACATCATTAGTCCCGGGACAAAGAGTTACTTTTTCTAATCATGCTCCCAATATCTAAGGGGCTGCCCCCAAAGAAGAGGGAGTCAAGCTATTCTCCAAAGCCCCTGGAGGCAGAACAAGAAACTAAGGATGGAAACTAACCAAGGAGAAAAGCAACTTAGAAAGGAGGAGGAATTTCCTGACAGGGAGAACAATTAACCAGCGGAACAGCTTGCCACCAGAAATTGTAGGTGCTTCCATCACTGGAGGCTGTTAAGAAGAGACTGGACAGGTGTTTGTCCGGAATTATACGGCATCTAGGGGGGTTGGACTAGAAGACCTCCAGGGTCCTTTCTAGCTCTTTTCTGATTGATTGAAACGCTCACGCAGGGGACCCTAGACCAAGGGCCTTCAAACGTGGCAAGTTGAAGACTTGTGGACCACGTCTTAAACTTGCCAAGTTTTTTGTTCCAATCTGGATCCCACGCCTACTCCTTGAACTCAGGGCTCTTCCCATCTCTTTTGAGGTAGGCCGTTCAGGACTCAGGGCCCCCAAAAAATAGCTCCACACATGACCCACAATTCATGGACCATTGCAACGTCAGGAAATGAGAAAGGAGCCAAACATTGGGGATTACATCCTTATAATAACCGAGTTAGACTTTTGGCGTCCAGCTGATAGAAGGAGGAGACGTTGGCTCACAGACAAAATCTGCAGGATCCGCGCAACTAAGAAGGTCTTCCTAGAGACTTCCTTCTCTTCCCAGCTGTACTTCTTAATCGGAAATAATCCTATTATAGAAAGCCAAGGATCCATTCAATGGTGCCTCCCATCAGACCTTCCCTGCGGCCTGGTCCCTCTTGTAGAATGGACAATGGACAATGCTATCTTCTGTCATCCTCATTTAACAACCCCATAATTGTTGTAGGGTGAAACTGAATGGAGCTAGCAGGGTGTTTTAATGGCCGGATACCCTTCCTGTTGCCAGTGAGTTTTGATCAGCAGATATATTCTCAGTGTGACCAGAGAGAGAAATATCTGCCTATCTAGGATCAAACTCACAGCTTCCTGATTGTGAGGCAACCATCACACCACTCCACAATGTGTGATGACCCAGGGCATGGCATAAAGGCTATACAGTCAGATAATCAATGAGTCCATTGATTATCTCCAACTTTGCCCCCAATGTCCCCAATGGCTGGAGAAAAACTCTCCCAGGAACAGCCTTTGACTGCAGAAAATTAAGTCCAAAACAGAGTAAACACAAACTGTAACTTAAAGTTCCAAACAAACCAAACTGAAGTAATTAGTTTTGCAGGACAGGAGCAAGAATTTCAGACTTGAAAGAACGGCAAAACTCACATGGTTGGGAAAACGCCAGGAACACAGATAAGCAAAGACAACACAGGATAAAAGTCACATTTGCTCCCAGCAGACGCCGCTCTCAGCTTGCATCTCTTTTAAACTTTCATTCCGTTGTGGCAATTGAAGGGAATCGGGGCCCTCTCCACCCCCATAAGTCACACAACCCACGTTGCTCCCTTCTCCATTCCTTCCTGCGTGCCCTAGGATGAAGAGGGGGTGGGCCTGGGTGTTCCTTTTAATTCCCTCTCCCCTGCCCTGCCCAACCGGACTTTGCCCTTCCCCAGTTTCCTCCACAGCCAACGGAGCCACATTCCCGCTCCCTGTCAGCTGTTCAGCTTCCTTCTCGGATTCAGACTCCAACAGGGGCATGAGAGTCCCCCCCCCCTTTTTTTGTGATACCCGGGAATGTTGTAAGTGGGAAGAACGGCCCCCTTTTTGTGCCTTTGAACAGTCACTAAATGAGCCGTTGTAAGCCGAGGATTCAGACTCCGACAGGGGCATGACACAATGTTATCTTTTGTGCCCATTGGGCATTGTTGTTCCAATCTGGATCCCGCACACCTACCCATGAACTGGGGGCTCTTCACGTCCCTTTTGGGGTAGGCTGCCTCCCCCACCCCCAAAAGCATCTCTATATGTAACCCACAATCCATTGATTCCTTTCCAACCTGGCACCATTGCCCCATCAGGAAACGAGAAGGGAGCCAGCTGCTGCACAACGTTGGGGATTAAACCCTTATAATAACCGGGTTAGGACTTCGACCTCTGGCTGGTGGGAGGAGAACCGAGAAGAGGTGGGGCTACGGAGAAATCCATGCACGGAGAGGCCTCCTCTTTCCGACTGGATTTCCTAATCAGAAACAATCCTGTTACGGAAGAGAAGAATCGATCCAATGGAGATCGTCCTCACTGGCTGGTCCTTTTTGTGGGTGTCTCCAAGATGGGTGGGGGAGGAGAAGGCCGGCCTCCTAATCAATACCAACCCATCTATTTTCCCATGGATCGGCCACTGGGCTCTTCGCAGTCCCTAAGGACAGGTTGGGAGAAGGAGGAGCAGCACTATCCTTCTGCCCCAGATAAGGCGCAATGAGGTCCTTCTGGAAGCGCCTGGCCTGCCTTCTGGTTGGAGCTGCCATTTTCCCAGCCATCTACCTGGCCTCGGTCATCATCCAGTATGTCCAACTTGTGTTTCCTCCTGGGCTCGATCAAACTTTGAAGTTTCGCATCTGTCAGACGTGGATCCTCTCGGGCATCCTTTTAGTAAGTCTTTCTTTCGTTCCTTTTGTCAGGAACTCTGGGTGGGAGAAGAGTTGCAATGGATTTATTCTTTCCTTACACGGTTAGAATTGGCCTGGATTCATCCGCACCGCTGTCCAAGCCTTCCTTGGCTTCTTGAGCAAGAAAAGCAGTGAAACTGACGGGATCACCTCCCTGTCCAGATCTGAAGGGGAGCTGGAGTTAAAGAGGGACTTCCCTTCATTTTCTTTTCCTTCATCTCACTGGGCCACGTTCCCCTTGGCACTTGGAATAGGTTCAGGGCAGAGGCCTGAGAAGGTGGTTTGGGTTACACCAGGTAGTAAAATCTGAAGAATTTCTTCATAAATAGAAGAGGGGGGAAATGGAAGTCTTTAAAAAAACAACAACAACAACCTTAACTTGGGAGAATCTTGCCTCACTATGTCTAAGGAAAAGTTAAATTAAAGCAAAATTTAAGTTAAGGTTGAAGTTAAATACCCTCACCTGAAGGTCTCAGGCTGGGTGACATTTCAATCAATCAGAATAGAGCTGGAAGGAACTTTGGAGATCTTCTAGTCCAACCCCATTGCTCAAGCAGTTCTTAAAAACCTCCAGTGATGAAGCACCCACAATTTCTGGTGGCAAGCAGTTCCACTGGTTAATTATTCTCACTGTTAGGAAGTTTCTCCTTTCGTTCCAGATTGCTTCTCTCTTTGATTGATTTCCATTTGTTGCTTCTTCTTCTTCTGCCTTCTGGAGCTTTGGAAAACAAACTGACAGCCCCCCCCCTCTTCTTTGGGGCAGCCCCTCGAATCCTGGAAGGCTGCTATCATGTCAGAATAACAGAACTTGTCAGAATAGCACTTGACAAATTAGTAAGAGGGCTGGGATGGGCACCTTGCTTTCAGAAGTTGTGATCCGCCTCCCCAGATTAACTTCTCCTCTTGTTTGTCGTTTGGCCAACAGGGAATTGTTTTAGAGGAGCTGGGCTTGTCGAGTCTTCCTGAAATTATACGGCTGTGTATGAATGGAATCCCTGCCTGGGGAGCAGATCCGTCCCTGGTCATTCGGGATCAGAAATTCGACGGGGTGCCAGTGAGGATCTACTCACCCAAAACGGTCTCGACTGCAAAAAGAAAAGCCGTGCTGTATTTCCATGGCGGGTGTGGCATTATGGGAAGCTACAGTAAGAGACGTCTTCCAAGCCAACCTTCCATTGCTAAACCAAGATGGTTGGGGAATCTCAGGGCGATAGGCTGAAAAGCATCCTATTTAATGGCAAATCATTACTGAACCATTACTAAAACATGTGTAACACATGGAATTCCACTTCATTCAGTCTCTCTCTCCCTCTCTATTTCTCTCTCTCTCTATCTCTCTCTCTCTCACACACACACACACCCCTCTCAATCAATCAGAATAGAGCTGCAAGGGACCTTGGAGGTCTTCTATTCCAACCCCTGGTCAAGCAGGAAACCCTGTACCATTTCAGACAGGTGGCTGTCCAATCTCTTCTTAAACACCTCCAGCGATGGAGCAGCCACAACTTCTGGTGACAAGCAGTTCCACGGGTTAATTGTCCTCATGTCAGGAAGTTTCTCCTTAGTTTCAGGTTGCTTCTCTCCTTGATGAGTTTCCATCCTTCGCTTCTTGTCCTGCCTTCTGGTGCTTTGGAGAATAAACTGACCCCCTTTTCTTTGGGGCAGCCCCTCAAATACTGGAAGGCTGCTATCATTTCTCCCCTAGTCCTTCTTTTCAGTAAACTAGATGTACCCAATTCCTGCAGATGTTCTTCGTATGTTTTAGCCTCCAGGCTTTTAATTGTCTTAGTTGCTTCATTTTATTTTTAAAAATCGATACTCGCACTTCATGTGATTTGGATCCTATGGCTCTGTTTATACTACCAAGGATCGTATTAGCTTTTTTGGCTGCCGCCGCACACTTCTGACTCAGGTTTAATGGATCGTCCCCACTCACATTCCAAGATCCCACCCACTATTACTGGTTTTGAGCTAGGTTTTGACTAGTGTATACTTGTATCTTTGGTTTTTCTTGCTGAGGCGTCAAACCTTGCTTTTCTCCACGTTCAATGTCACGTTGTTGGATAAGGGCTCATTGTTCCGAGTCTGTCAAGATCTTTTTGGATCCGGAGCTTGTCTTCTGGGGTGTTGGTTATTCCTGTCAGCTTAGTGTCATCTGCTGATTTGATGTGTTCCCCTTCTAATCCTTCATCTAAGGCATTCATGAAGATATTGATGAGTACTATACTTATAATGCTGCTATCAAGAATGATTCTAGTCCAACTAGTTACGTGCAAGAGTCTGAATCAAGAGAAGGTAGCTATTTAGGTGCCTACAGATGCCGATTAACAAGGGATGGTTAACTGATCTTGCAAAACCTGAGCATTTGACACAGATCTCTATCTAGAGCCATTTGCTTCATATACTATAATCAAGCCCATATCTGTGTTTATGCCAGCCGCAACCAAAGCTTTAGTAATTTCCAATATTGCCACAGCGCTTTTCGACACGATCCTGTTATCGGAGAGGGATCTTCTGACATCTTGCCCTCTGAAAGATAATTCCAAAAGCAAATAGGACAACCTTTGGTAAGAGGCCTGGCCAATAGGAAAGCTGAGCAGAGACAGAAGTCCTCTTCAGTATGCCAGCTTGTCTCTGGCAAACCTTTCCTTCTCCCAACTCGTTTGAAGCAGGGAAAGGGTTTTCCAGGAATGAATCCTCATCCATTGTAACTCATCGATGCTCGTTTCAGATACCTTCGAAAGATTCCTGCGGTACGTTGCCAAAGAGGGGAATGCAACGGTGGTCACAGTCGGGTAAGTGTCACCCCCTTGTCTCGTTAATCTGCAGCAGATCTAGGACAACTCGCCAAGGGCCAATTCACTGCCGAGATAACTCACTGCGAGCTGGGCCAAGAGTGACACTGAATATCAACGAAATGGTGAAGTAGAATTATTAAAGAAAGAAAGGCTACCAAAGGAGGGACAGAATGAAATGTGAATGACAAGAAGTTAAAATATATTTTTTTAAAAATATTTGAAATAATTCAGTGGTTGAATTGTCCCACAGAGAGTTGGCCACAGCGAGTTTATCCTAAAATAATATCGGGTCTTAATATTATTATTTTTTTTTTTTGCCAAAAGATGTATTAGGACTTATTTTCTGGTTAGGTCTTACGGTGAAACACAGTACTAAATGCGCCTACCTGGTTGGTGCGCTTAACTGGAGCTTATTTTTGGGATAGGGCTTATATTATGAGCATCATGAGAAATCATGCTAGGACTTATTTTCCAGTTAGGTCTTATTTTCAGGGAAATACGGTACTAAATGTGTCTGACTGGCTGACAAGCTTAACTGGGGCTTATTTTGGGGGTAGGGCTTATATTACAAGCATCCTGAGAAATTATGCTTTGGGTCTTATTTTGGGGGAAATGGGGTATTTATAATATTAATAGAAGTAAAGAGAAACTTCCTAACAGTGAGAACAATTAACCAGTGGAACAGCTTGCCTTCAGAAATTGTGGGTGCTCCATCACTGGAGATTTTCAATAAAAGACTAGACAGCCATTTGTCTGAAATGGTATAGGGTCTCCTTCTTGAGGGTTGGACTGGAGGACCTCCGAGGTCCCTTCAAGCTCTATTCTGATTGATTGATTGAAATGGTAGGGTCTCCTGCTTGAAAAGGAGGTTGGAGTGGATGACTCCAAGTTCTCTTCCAACTCTACTCTCATTGATCGATTGATAATTAAAAACAACCACCAGATTACAAAACCAGGAAAGCCTGACAATTGGATCAGGAATCCATAACCAGTCATTTTGTTCTCCTTTCAGGTATGGACTTGCACCGGAGAGCCCTTATCCAAGCCAGCATGTTGAATGTCTGAAGGCGGCCACCTTCCTCATAAAACACGCAGACGATTATGGGGTGGATAGCTCCCGTATTATCCTTTCTGGGGACAGCTTCGGGGGTACTTTGGCCACACATGTTTGCCAGGTCCTGATGGACCGCAGTGACCTTCCCAAGGTCCATGCCCAAGCCTTGATCTACCCCGTGCTTCAGGGTTTCGATTTAGCCTTGCCATCCTATCAGCAGAATTGCAGAAGTCCCTTCTTGTGGCCTAAGCTGGTTGCCTTCTTAGGCTGCCGTTACTTGGACAAGCCAACGTCCTTGGCGGATGGACTTCTGAAGGGCAGCCATGTTCCCGAGGCCACCCGTCAGAAATACCAGAAGTGGGTGAGCGCCGACCGCATCCCGGAACGGTTCAAAGCCAGAGGCTACGTGGCGCCAGAGCCGTCCTCGTTCCAGTTTGACCCTCGGCTGCACGAAGAAATGAAAGTGGTGCTCACCGGCAAGTTTTCGCCCTTGCTCGCCGAGGACACGGTGATTGCCAAACTCCCTCAGACCTTCCTGTTGACCTGCGAGTTCGACGTCCTTCGCGACGACGGGTTGCTGTACATGCGGCGGCTGACGGACAACCATGTGCCGGTAACTTGGAGCCATGTAGAGAACGGCGTGCATGGGATCAACGTGTGCTATGGCTACCGCTTCCTGTCCTTTTCTTCAGCAAACCGGATCGCGCACGAGCTTGCCAGTTTTGTCCGACACTTGTGAGGCCGAAAATGAAAATGAGAGAGGGAACGCCGCCTTCTTGATCGTCTTCCGGGGAATCCGGTGGCCCGGACTCATGGTCCCCTTAGGATAAACCGCTTTATCCCGATTAATATTGGAAGACTGCGATTGTGTCAGAACGACAGGTCTTGTCAGAACAGCGCTTGTTAAATTAGTTAACGTGATGTCAACTCATAAAATATTCCAATGCCTGTTTTAGTAGTTGCCATAAAATAAAATGAGAGGGAGGAAGGAAATCTGGAAGAGCAGTGCAGCAGCTTGAAAGCGGAAGTACATTCCAACTCTTCTCTTTAAAAGATTGTAACTACCAGAGCTTTTGCCTGGAAATATATTTAATTGGAGAACATGATTGATGACACCAAACCCATGAAGGTGGTCAATTGGAGAATTTGATTTATGACACACCCAGCGGGGAAACAGGGTCATAGGGGACTGTGAATGATGTAGGCCAGAGTTGGCTTCATACAAAGTAGTGCCAGTATGTCGCCTCTAATGAATCCTTGGAAGCTTTTTGAAGTTTGGCTCGAGGATCATGATTTAATTAGAGCGGTTACTGGAATCCTGACACACAATTACTAATAGCTTGCTTTCAAAAGTTGTGGGCGCTCTGTCAGTGTAGGCTTTCAAAATAGACGGGACAGCCATTTGTCTGGAATGGTCTAGAGTCTCCTGCTCAAGAAGAGATTGGACTAGAAGACAAGGTTCCTTCCAACTCTACTATTATTCTATTCTACTTTCTCTTCTCTTCTCTATTAATCTATTCTATTCTATTTCTTATTCTATTTCTTATTATTCTTATTCTATATTCTATTCCGTTCCATTCTATTCTCTATTCTGTTCTGTTCTATTCTATTCTTTCTCGCTGCAAGACAATTCCATGTAATTATTTAAAATATTTAAAAAAAATAGTTTAATTTTTATCATTCACATTTCATTCTGCCCCTCCTTTGGCAGCCTTCTTTTCATGATTCTATTCCACCATTTCTTCGATATTAGCATAACTTTTTCCCCACAGCCAGTTGGCTGTGGTGAGTTGTTCTAGACCCGTAAGATTCAAGATTGTATTAATTTTACAACCGGCTTATATTTCATTCATTTCAGATGAATATACCTGGTTACAAAAACATTTATTGATTTCTCCCATGTACAAGTATTACTCTGATGTCATAAATCCACTTGACACGAATGGGAATTGTTCCTAATGTCACTTTCAAACTGGATGTTTTTAATTAAGTGGATGCCTTCCTTTGAATTTGTGGACAGAGCTCAGTTAGACCTGGAAAATATTATTCTTAGGCAAGTTAGAAACAAAGCATTTTGCTTTCCAGGCTAACCATCCCATGGCAGTCAAAATATGTAATTGTTTTAACAAATCTGAAGCGAATTGAAAAAAAAGAAAGAAATTTCTTTTCTTTTGCCCTAAACAATTTGACGCAATGTTTGCTAATGTAGTAAGAAAGCCAGTGAATTGTCAGCACCTTCATTTCTTCAAAAGTTTTCAGACATACTGTAACAATTCAAGCTCTGGCCCATTTTGGCAATTTAGCCTAAATGTACTTAACTGATTTTGGTCTAATGTGGATCAGCAGTCTCGGTAAGCTTGCAATTAAAAATCCTCATCTTCTTTCATGTGCTGAATTTTCCATCTCTGGGGGGTGGGGGTGTAAAATCCCTTTGCATTTTAGAATAAATATCTCATTTCTCCTTGCTGGGAAGCTCTGAATCCAGAATCATTTCAGCTGTAAAACGACCTTCAAAGAAGGAAAAAGAGGGAAACCATTAAATAACAACAGTGTATTCAAATATCTTATTTTAAACTTTATGGTGTAGACATGATTGTCCACATATCTTCTCAATCAATCCTCAATCATGGAATTCCCAACGTATACAAAAGATAACATAAGAGTAAAAATGGGGAATACAAAGAAGCAGAAAAGTAATTTAAATTTAAAAAAATAGAATTATCACTCAGTTTGGGGTGAAATAAGCATGCAGGACCTCCTGCCAGATTGGGTGTTTCCCGCTGTCAATTTCCCACTGTCCTCAATGTACAACCACAATTGAGCCCAAAATGCATGTTGCTAAAGTGAAACATTTGTGAAGGGAGTTAAGCAAAAAGGACGCACCTTGTTCGCTGCTTCCAACGCATTTATCAGAGTCTGTAATTCTTCTTTGTTCATTTCCACAGAGGTGAATTTGAGGTCCCCATTCTTCGACAAATCCAGATCCAGGTTTAAAAGCGGCATCTGGAGCATGGACAATTTATCACTAGAAAGGGCGAGCTGCGTAGGGAAGCAAAGACAATGCAATTAAGACTTGGGTTTTTTTATCAGAAGCCATGAAAAAAATAAATTAGCAGTTGTTTTAAGGCCGTAACATGAGAGCTGAAAGGAATTCCGAATACGCATAAATGAGAAATCTAGTTTGCATTCAGCATCTCTGTCTGTCTGTCTATTTATCTATCTATATCTATCATCTATATACCTCTCTATCTGTGTATCTCTATATCTATCTCCATCCATCCAACCCTATTTCTCTATATATATCTCTCCTCTCTGTCTCTCTCCATTCATCCCTATCTCTCTCTATATATATCTGTCTCTCTCTGTCTCTTTCTCTCTCCTCTCTCTATCCATCCATCCATCCCTCTCTATATCTATGTCTCTCTCTCTCCATCCATCCATCCCTATCTCTTTTTATGTCTCTGTCTGTCTCTGTCTTTCATTCCATCCCTATCTCTCTCTGTCTCTCTCTCTCCATCCATCCATATCTCTATCTCTTTATATCTATGTGTCTCTCTCTCTCTCTACATTTTTAACAGCTCCTCTTTTTTTTTTTGAGTTTAAGAATGGTAAACTCAGGAGCTTTTAACATGTCAGGCAGTCCTCAATTGATCTCCTGCCTCCCAGGTGTTCACATTTGGTATTCCTAGAAATATTATGCAGACAAGAATGAGAAGATTGATCTAACCTTGAGCTGCCAGTCAAAATTCAGGAGCTGGGAAGAACAAATGGCATTTGTGTTTCCAACCAGGGCTTGCCTGATATCAGGTTTTCTGGCTTTCAAGCAAGTCAGCACTGCTCTTTGCGTGTCGGGATTTAACTCTGCCAACAGCCGAACAGCCTACAAAGAAAAGAGACAATTAGTGGTAAAAACAATGCCATGGTTATTAAGTGAATTACAGCAGTTAAATTAGTCACACGGTTGTTAAGTGGCTTCACTTAATTGATTTTGCCTGTCAGAAGGTAGGGTTTCCTGCTTGAGCAGGGGGCTGGACTAGAAGACCTCCAAGGTCCTTTCCATCTCTCTTCTGATTGATTATGATGATTGGCTGTGACCATCATAAAGAATTAAAAAAAGCGACTATCAATATTGTATTTTACATTTGCATGTTTATTCTTAAGCATCTGGCTGCCTCTCTCCGGATATGGCACTGTGGGTTATTTAATTCTTTTTTTTTTCCAGAGAGAGAATTCCAGAAAGAGAAATCTTCACTGAAAGAGGCCTTCCCTTTCAAACAAATGTTTCAAAAAATCTATATAATCTACTGAAAGGAATGAAATGAGTCACTTTTAAACACTTTTAAATGGTAGCGGTCCCTACTCAGTCACTTCCTGTCTTGATTACTGCAACGCGTTCTACATGGGGCTGCCCTTGAAGAGCATCTGGAAGCTCCAGTTGGTGCAAAATGCAGCAGCCTGCATGGTTTTGTGCAAAGCCTGGTGTGCACATGTGTCACCTCTCCTGCAGGAGCTGCATTGGTTGCCGATTTGCTTCCGGGTGCAATTCAAGGTGCTGGTTGTCAAATTTTGTGCTATTGTACTTTACTAATTTATTTGATTATTTTGGTTAGTTTTTATTGTTTTTATTTTTATTTTTAAATATGATTTTGCATTGTGTAAGCCGCCTCGAGTCGTCATGGGCGAATAGGCAGCAATATCAATCAAATAAATCAAATAATAAATAAATAACTAATGAACATGGTGGAACTAACAGTGTGCGGCGGTGGCAGACCAAAAAGACAACGCAATCCTAAATTGCATTAACAGAGGGATACAATCAAGATCAAGGGAGGTACTACTACTACCACTCTGTAAAGGCTTAGTAAGGCCACTCCTGGAGAACTGCATCCAGTTTTGGTCACCAGACTATAAAAAAAAGGTTGAGACTCTGGAAAAAGTGCAGAGAAGAGCAACCAGGATGATGAGGGGACTGGAGGCTAAAACCTATGATGAATGGTTGCAGGAACTGGGCTTGGCTAGTCTAGTGAAGGGAAGGACCAGGGGAGACAGGATAGCAGCCTTCCAAGATTTGAGGGGTTGCCCAGAGAGGAGGAAGGGGTCAAGCTATTTTCCAAAGCACCCGAAGGCCAGACAAGGAATAATGGATGGAAACTGATCAAAGAGGGAAATAAGGAGGAATTTTCTGACAGTGAGAACAACCAACAGAAAAGAAGTTGCCTTCAGAAGTTGTGGGAGCTTCATCACTTGAGACTTTCAAGAAGAGATTGGACTGCCATTTGTCAGGAATGGTGTAGGGTCTCCTGCTTGGGCGGGGGGTTGGACTAGAAGACCTCCAAGGTCCCTTCCAACTCTGTTGATGTAATCTAATCTAATCTAATCTAATCTAATCTAATCTAATCTAATCTAATCTAATCTATAAACACATTTTGTGTGTAAATCTCCTCCGTAAACCAAGCTTTGCTTATAATGTTCTTAATAATTTTCTTTTCTACACAATAAATTTCGAGTTTACCGGCAGAATCGAGTCTCTCTCTTTTTTTAAAAAAAAGCCCTAAGGGCGTTTCTACCTCCTCCTCGGAAAGATCTTTTCCAACCGTTTTCCTGAAGTATGAGGCAGTTTCTTCTAGCACCTCCATCCATTCTGTTAAATTCCAAATCGCGTCGTAGTCGCGATGCCGGGGAAAAGCCTGGCCACAGAGCCCATCGATGACTTTGTGGAAGAACTGCCAAAAAAAAGAAAAAAAAAAGACATTGATTTCCTAAGGGCCATGACTCAGGTAGTCCTTGACTTACAACGGTTCGTTTAGTGACCACTCAAAGTTTCCACGGCATTGGTAAAATATAAATAAAGGAGGGGCATTTTTGATACTTATGGCCATTGGCAGCAACCCCATGGTCACCTGATCGAAATTCCAAGGCTACTGACTCGTATTTACGACGGGGGAGTCACACGATCCCCTTCTGCGACCGTCTGACAAGCAGAGTCAATGGAG